CTGATTTTGGATAACGTTGTTCGCGTTGTGAGGCAACCCAACCAAAGATTGAATCAAAACCTTTCGCCCACCTTTCGCGTCTCTCGCGGACCAAGAAACCCAGCCCTGGAACCCTGTGCTGCAAACCTGCTATATGAAAAACAAGGCAACGGATTTTAGCTTCAGCACACAACTCTCACCTGCACAAGAAAGCCGTGGGGTTTGAAGCGCCTGCATCTCTTCGCTCTTGCAGCGCACCACCACCAGCTGCTCCTGTAATAGCTCAGGCTGTACCAGAATCATGGCTTGCATGAGGGTGCAGGAAGACTGAAGTATCGTATGCTTTCTCGTGAAGGCTTTGCAGGAGGTTCCGGCTTTGCAGGGGCCGGGCTTTGTGCTAAGGCAAGCAAACTAGCGGTACGAGACAGGACGACCGGATGAGGTGAACGACCAGAACGAAGAACGACCTGGATGGCCTGGACATCCTTCCCTGTGACACGATAGGCCGCGCCCTTTCGAACACGGAGCTTTCCCCCTCGTCCCGCACGTTGTGGTTTCGTGTGAAAAGCCGCAGACTGGCAGCAACTGTCCACGACGTTCCACGCCTACCACTCACGGGCTGAGTGGCACGACTCTGGGAACCTGAACATCTTGCTGAACAGGGTGGGGCAAAGGCAGGACTTTCCACAAACTATGAGAAGAACGAACAGGCAGCTCCGTTGAACAACACTTCGCGGCGCAGAGAAGAGACAGCGGCTGCGCTCCCGTTGTCACTATATGCACGTGCACTTAGATCTAGATTCTAGATGATTCTATGCGTCACGCCCGCAGCAGCTTTGCTTCAAGCAACAGCAGATCTCGTCTTGGGGCCAAGATGCTGAAACAGTCAAGGTTTGGGTCTCCTCGATGAGCCATTGGGGATTCGCTCGCTGGACGCTCACTTGCAAATTTGGGATGGAAGCACAAAAGTCACGGAAATTCGATGCGTGAGGAATTCAACTTTCATGAATGTAAATATCTCAAATCAGAAAACGATGGCTTTCGGTGCGGTAGCGCAGTTTCCCAGAAGGCTGTCAAGATACAGTCCTCCAACTTCTGACGCTCAGTCCTGGCATGATACTGGTGAGGACAGCTTCTGTCCAAGGAGCGATTCCGGTCAAAAGCGATGCAACGAGCCAAGCACATCGTGCTCTCATGCACACTTTTACTACGCTTTGGCCTCTCGGCAGCAAGGAGTGCTTCTTGAGCTGCTGCCTTGGACCGATGGATGATGGCCTGCAACAGCAGGTACATGCCGAAACGCAAGCTTCCTCGCATGACCTCCCGTGTATCGTCATAATGATGTCTACTGCATTTAACTGCCTCAAGCTGACTTTTGACTTTGTTCACATTTTCATGTTGGCCTCCGAATCAAGCTTGTGACGCAAGTCACGCAGCTCCTGTTCACAATGCATCTTGGGTTCACACATGATATGGCAGCTGCGTCTCTGGTTGTACTCGACGCCAGCTACCGTGCCCTGAAGAACGCTCCTGTTGCAGCTTTTGGCAGGTGAACCTGGGGAAGGAAGAGCTCATAAGCTAAGCTGTGAGTTGCACGCACGCTTGTCACTTGGCTGGGCTCACGTACGTTGGCACCAGAAGCGCCGAAATGCACATGAAATATTATGAGTTGACTAACCCCCTATAATTCGCCAATTAAGGGGCAATTTGGGGGGGCACTAAGAAAACAGTTTCTATAAGAATAAGAACAACAATAGCATCAATAAATATCAATAATCTGGCAACAGCCTCTAGCGCTTTCAAAGCTGGTGAGGAGCCAGTTCACATAAAAATGCATCATGTATTCTGCAGTGCTCCGCTCGGCTCTGGGCATTTCTGATGCGAAGTCTGTCTCGGCCGTTGAAACCCTGCCAAAGGCGGCCTTGACCTTGGTTCTGTTGTCGAGAAAATTGTATGATTTTGTGCCCAACAAATTCCGACCAGGTCCAACTGACTAAACGTGGGCTATGACGCTTATTGGAGGGTTCAGAACGGGCTTTGGGATCATTTGGGCGGCGGGAGAGACCTTGGCCAACCCCCTGGGAGAAAAACAGAATGAAGAGTGAGAGACAGCAACAAGTTCAAAAGACGAATCTACGTGGGGGTGTGCGAACCCACAAGCACCGGGAGAAAAAATGAATGGACAAACATCTTGCCCTTAATGTCGCAAGGTCTGGACTTTGGCTTGATGTTGTTTTTTTCTCTCGACGCGCGCGATGCACCCCCAGTTCTCTCACTCAGTGAAGCAAGAGGTGTTTTAAGGTTGGATGGGACTGCATACAAACGCACAGGCAAAAAAACGACATGGTTCTCTCGCTTTCTTCCTCTTAAAGCTCCACCAGGAGCAGAAGCTACGTTCGGTATGTGTGAGAGGTGGGGAGTGACGAGGACCGGTATGCAATCATCATCATGGTCCAACCCCGTGCTCCGGCGACCCCCATGTCCCATAAACCCCATGCTCAACTCCAGTCAGGCAGTGGCTTTTCTGTTTGATTTTCGAATTTTCGCTGTCGCTTAGGCCCCTATAGTGCTTGAAAAAGCCCAGGCAGGCCGTTTAGGCTTCATGGCTGAAGTCCTAAGGCGTAGGCTCAACGGTCGTCTAGCATCGTCTAGCGTTTGAGGTTCCGGGAGTATGGCTAAGGGTTCAGGCCCGGATTTTGGTTGAGCGGGTTCGGCTAAGGCCTGGTCCCTCCGAAGCTGATTTCATTTTCTGAATTGTCGGCCCAGCATTATCTGGAATTGTCAATCAAGTTTTCAGTTGCTTTTTGTGCTCCAAGGTCCTGGTTTGTTTTCTGTGCTTTCCCACTTGTGCTTTTCGTGTTCCAGTATGCGGTGGTAGTTTCGCACAAAGCGATGCACAAACTTGTTTCGATTTTGAGTTTGTGGTCTGGTTTGGGCTGGGTGCTTTGCAGCTTGGGTTTGTTTTTGTGTTTAGTTGCCCGAAGGTGTTGTGCTTTCTTGTGCTAAGAGTCTGCTAGTTTGTGTTGATTTGTGTGCTTCAGAAATAGTATTGGAGTTATACCGTCCGAACAGCAATTGCCGGCCTCGAGGCTTTCTGCTTTGGAGTTATGTTTTTTTCTGCTTGGGAATTGTGCTTTTTTCAGACATAAGGTCTCACGCCTCTCCTCGCCGCGGACTTGTCCCCTCTTCGTGAGTCAGGGACCGCTCTGCTGGAAGCGAGAGCCACCACAAAAGAACGCGGCAGGAGACTTGTGCCGAAATGGCTGTCTCTCGCTCATCCTTCTTCTTGCTTCTTACTTCGTCTTCTCGTCATTACTCTTCTTCTTCTTCTCCTTCTAATTCAGTTCCTGCACCCACACGTGAGAACCAACACTTTGGCTGTGAGCTTAAGGTTTGGGGGACGTATGGTTCTAGGTATGTCTTACAGGTTGACGGCTTTTAGAGCTTTGGCTTAAGGAGCTTGGTGTCTCGATTTAAGCTTGTTGAGCTGTATGGGGCGACGCTCAGGGTGAAGCACAACTACTACGCAGACTACGCAGCTATGATCGATGGCCATCACCAACAGCATGAGCGGCGCGCATGCGCACTCGACTCCAGAAACATGCAGACAGCGGGCATGCAACATGAAACAAACAGAGGAAAAGCGGGAACACCTTGGCCAAGAAAAAGGTAAGGCTATGCTTATTGCCAGCTTCTGTGAATTGCCAGCAATAATGTACTAATCCCTCCCCCCCGGTGTATTAAAGAATCAGAGGCCCCAGCAAATATCAGATATCAAGGTGTTATTCACTGCAAGAATTAGGTAGGGCTGGCTTTAAATTCCTGCTGAACTCGGAGGAAATCAATACTTATCTAATCACTTGATCGTAGTTAATTACTGAACGAAATCAAATTTCAAATTAACAGAAAACTCCAGACACCCTCCGCATTCATGATTAGGTGGCTCCCTTTAAAGTAGTCTTGCCCTTGTAAAAGTGCTCTTCCGGAGTTTTATGCTCCTGATTTTGTTATCTAATGTTAGGGGGGTAAATACTAGGGGGAAGCAATTCACAGCACTAGGCAACGGGAACAATGACCACAAAAGCAAGGACGAACACGACGATGACTAGACCAGTGCCTCTGCCATTACCACAACAGCAATCTTTCAAAAGCCAGAACCGTACAACCAATCATCGCAGTCAATGGAAGGGCCTTGTCCTCCTGCACCGCCAACTTGCGCCCTGCCTCCTGCAGCTCCTCCGGGCGCCATCAAACGGAGCTGTTGTGAGCATGCATCCATTCCCAGAAAGCATCAATGCGGGGTCAAACCGATCAGTTGAGCCTGAGATGAGTATTGGCAAAAATTGGAACCTCATTTCCAACCTTGTGTTTGGCCTGGTCCACATCGACCTTTCGCCTCGGCAAATGTTCCCCTTCTTTTTACTAGATGTTACTGGTCGTTGCAAAGACGGGCTAAGCTGTCCAGATTTTGCTTTCTGTTCTGGTTCGGCACCATCCGCTTGGGTACTACGTAGAAGTGCACGACTAGGCTTAACGATAGGGCCAGTCTGATGGCTGTAACGAAAAATGCGGTCCTCAATTGCGATGCTAATTGCAGACATAGACTGCTGGAGATCCAGAATGCACAGCGTGCCGCTTGAGCTTCCAAGATAGGCCTGACCATCACGCAGTGGCAAAAGGGCTCTGGCGTAAGCAGGTTCTGCAGCGTCCGACGATGCCAAGCCTGAAAAGTGTACAAGACTTTTGAGTTTCAGAAGGGATGAAACATATTGTTTTCCATAAGCACGTACGGTCATCTCTGCAGAGTTCAATGTACATGCTGGGCTCGCGTCAGAATAATCAAAATACATGCATGTGCAGAAGGCCTAGTCCTAGATAATGCGGTCAAACAAAGTGTGCATCTGGCTGATGAGGGAACAATCACAATCAGCATGCAGCATTAATTGCATTACCATTGTCTGGAGATGTTAGTAGTCATTCGGGCGGGGAATCCACTGGAGAGACCATAATCGAAGCAGCGCCTCGAAGCTTCGCAGCAACCTGACAGAGGCCACCAGAGCACGCCCCACTGCATGTTTGGCAGCTGGGGCGGCGTGAAGAGCCCATGGCCTTAGACCGTCCTCCACAGGCCCAGGGCGCGGCTCATCCTGCTAAATCACGCTAGGATTCGCTTGGGGTCTGTTGAGATTCAGCGCGACAATCTACGGGCAGCCACATCACCTGCATGCTGCAAGCTGCCTTGTCCTCGTGGCGCTTCAGCTGCTGTGCCAGGTGCCGTGAAGTCTTTCGCTCAGCTGCTATGGTCTGGGCAGCCTGCCGTGCGGTGGCAGCAGTAGCTAGCAGCGTGCTTGCTCCCATCATCTATCTGAACTGAACTGCATCGTCGACACTACTTTGAGTACCGCATGCTGGGATACTTCAAGTCTTGGGATGTTTTGGGAAGCTAGGCGCACATTCTCTTCTCCAGGGGTTGCCTGACTCTGCTCTTCGCGAAGTGTCTGCATCCGGCGCCGCTCTGCTGCCAGCTCTGCACGGCCCTGGCGGTGCAGCCAAGGTTAATCGCAAGATCCGTGAACCTGTTCCAAGTGCCTCTTGCTGTAGGCGCTTCAGGTCCTCAGTCAGCTCCAGGCACCGGTGCTGTTCGTCAAGGAGTCGACGTTCTGCCTTACGGTGCTCTGCAATCAAAACATTTACAACCACGCGAACAGAGATCCAACATTTCCGTGGTTAGATTTCCGATCTGTGTGATCGCAGCATCTTGCAAGCTGCAGTGTTGAAACTAGCTGCGGAGACCGGTACTGTATCGAGGGTACATGACGGCGTGTGCTTAAAACAAGTCATCTGTCAACTCAGTCGCCTCATCCCACTGTCTGGCATCCATTTTTTCTTGCCGAATCGCCTGCGTCGAGACTGTACCACCGCCTGTCACCTGTCTTACATTGTCTTACGCTGCAAGATGGACAAGATGACCATACTATGTTTTGAGCTTCCAAATGCTTACAAAAAGACGCGCGTACCGCGCCGACTTGACAATGGCATACATGGATATACATGGTGCATCCAGGCTGGCCGCTGCCTCGGCTTGCAGCTGCAGGCGCTCCACATCCTGCCAAGTTGCACGCCCATGTTGCGCGGCAGCCGAGTGTTGACATGAAATCCATTTGCTCGGCCTTTGTCTTTCTGACAGGCTGCCCAAGCTCTAGTGAATTTCGTTGAAACTTTGTCACACACAGTGTTTGTAATTAGGTAGGATTGTGGTTCCTCTTGCACGCACACTTGTACCAGCCAATCTCTAGGACTGACCCGCAAAGAAGGTGGTATGGGTAAACCATTACAAGATTACCTTTGTCCAGATTCAAACTGGACTGCATGTGACAGCCGTGTTCTGATTGTGGAAAACTTGTGGTATGCTGTCATCTTTTAGCGGCCGCCCGCGCCATCACCCGCACTGATTGGTTGTACGCTCCCAAAGTTTTTGCAGGTAGAAAACTCGCCGGCTTGCACGTAAGCTGCATGTTTGCAAGAATGTTCTGCGGATAGGGTCCAGTCCGCTGCAGGCACAGAGGTATGCGTCTGTAGCTTCCTCCACCCATTCCGCTAGCTTTTTTGGCTGGCATCACCGAACCGGCTGCCAGCCCCCTGCAATGCATAAAATGCATGAAACCCGCATGGAAAAGCTTGTGGTGTTGGTGCCTGTGCTTGTGTGTCCAAGTTTTGTCCAGAGAAAACAGAAAACTTGCATGTCATGTCAAATGTGGGAGCGACCCCCTGCACCCAAGTTCTAGGATGCTTCACACACAGACAAACAGACACAGACTCAGACACACACACACACACACACACCTGCATGCACCCCGAAAGGTGTAGTAGGTTATGGATTCTTTCTCACCGTTCTTACTGGATTCATGTCTATTGCTTGTGGTCACCAGCTGCAGATAATACTGCCCAGATGCCCCACTGTGTGGATACCAGCTGCAATTTAACATTGCCCAGGTATTCCACCCAATTAGCAGGTACTTGGAGGCACGTCTGCCGCCCCTTCCCACTTGCGCCCATACCTTCGTTGCACACAGTAGGGCACAAGTGCTGTGTGCCCCTGCAACTGGCCCGGCAATTTGTTGTGAAATGGTTGAAGCAACAGGCAGAAAAGACATGTGAACAGACATGTCCCTTAGCAAACAGGGGTTTACACACACACATGCTCCCATTTTGG